TTTAGAATGGAAGGAGGAATCGAGCAATTTTTTCCCTAGAAAAAAAAATGCCCAGTGTATGGCCAACTTTATTCCTCCATTCTGACATACTGCTACTGAGCCTTGCTTTCAGAAGAAGCGTGTCCAGAGCCGTTTTTCTGGCAGTATACACGCGATCAGGCACTGTAGTCTAGCAGTCAATAGGTTTTCCTCCCTTCTCTGACCGTATCATTGCTGTGACCGGAAGGGACAGACATGTGACTTGCCTTCTTCATTTCTTTGGGCTCCTCAACATTCTGTCCATCCTAGATTATATCAGGATAACTGGAGGTTTAATGGCCGAGCATTACCTCATTTGCAGGAGGCCCCACCAAATTCTCTTAATTGTGCAGGTTTTTACCTGGGACCCCTTGGATGCACTAGAACATGTGCCACATAAGTGAACTAACCCTTTAAGTAGCCGGCACAGTGTTAAATCATCTAATTACGATAGAGCTGGGGTTGGCAATCTTGGCACGCTAGTTGTGCCGCAGCTACCAATACCGTCATGCCTATGGCTGTCAGTATTGCAATGTTGTAGTTCCACAACAGCTGGATTGTCAAGGTTGCCTACCCTTTCCATAGAGACTTGAGGGGGGAAAGGCAAAGGAAATCGAGCACCACTACATTTGGGATGCCGGATAAAAGATATGTAATGGGTGCTATCTGCAATTTTGGGAGGCTATGAGAGGTTCATGTAGTTGTATGATCCACTGTAGGAATATGTAATTGTAGACCATCTAATCTGGACTTTGCTTTTACAATGGGTTCCATTCACCTGGCAGCCATTTGTAAGGTAAAACATTGTAGATCCTGTGTTCATTACACTTGTGTCATTGTGTCTTGGCGATATCCATAGTCTGCATCTTCATACATATTGATTTGCCTCTATTGTGCAGTCAGCTGGCTCTGTAATACAGCCCCCCTGGCAGTTACAGCATTGGACACAGAATAGAGAGCACTGAAGGGTTTTTTTCCTTTTTTTTTAATTTTTTTTATTGGTTCAATACATTTCTCAATGTTTTTCTAGAAATGTGTACTTGTTTTCCTCTCCCTCTCTCTAGTTTACCTAGAGGATGTGGGAGATATATTCATGTCATGACAATGTCATGTGACTAGACTAGAGCGCTCCTGTGTATGTATGTATGAACACATATACATATATCTGTGTGAGTGAACGGTCTGTGTGTAAAGATGTGAATGAAATTCCTTTATTGTGGAATCGTTGGAGCAGAATAGTCTGCACAACCCTTTATGGGGAATGTACACCCTTGTAGTAGGGATGCTAGTTAGGCCCACCTGCTATATCTTCAATGTTGAGAGAGTTGTCTGTGTTGCCCGTAACTGAAATGCATCGTCTTTTTATTCTCCCACACTGCCTTGGGTGGATGAAAGGAAGAATATAGCTGCTATGGACAACTCAGCGGTTATCCCTGCCGACACCAACCTTATGTTGACAGATCTAAGTGCTGGTTGTGGCTCCTGGCCGTCCATTTAGAGAAGGCTAGAATATGGGAAACGTTTCGGGTCATATACTTGTGTGTGGCGAGGCTTACTAGCAGATGTATCAAAATGTACAGTCCCTTTTTTTTATGGCTGCCCATCCAGGCTAAGACGGCACTATTAATGTTAATCTGATAATGTAATTATGTCCCTGCTTTGTGTGTATATTGCATCTAAACATCAATCCTTGATCAATGTGTACATAGACCCCTTTATTACCCCTCCGTTCACTCTGTGTGGTTTACTACAAGTCATACCTTTGCCAGTCCAGTGTAGGGTTCGTTCTCATACCCAGTCAGGTTAAAGAGGTTTTTAAAAAAAAACAGAAAATCCCCTCTCCAGAGTCGTGTGTCTCCAAACTTGCTCCTTGTGTTGCCCAACTGATGGCTGTTATGGGTACAGATGGAGTATGTGCTTTTGGTGGAGATAGAACTGCTTCTCTCTCCATACAAGTATATAGGAATGCAGCTTAAATGGAGGTCAAGTACACCTGCAATGGATTCTCAATGATCTCAGATGCATCTCTGATGAAAACAACAACACTGCATTAGCAGCCTGTTTATTACAGGCATGTATACATTGCTGACAATTGAGGTAGTATTTTACATTGTGTACATTCAGCTCAGT